CCTGGTGATACAGCGGATGACTCCATCTGCCAGTGCAGGTTCAGTCCCCCATCCAGGAAGATTCCACAAGTGGCGGAGGGACAAAGCCCATGTGCACAGCTCCTAAGCCCACGCTCTAGAGCCTACGAGTCACACCTACTGAGATTGGCACTTCAGCTACTGGAGCCTGTGCACCGCAACAAGAGAAGCCGCTGTAGTGAGAAGCTGCGCACCACCACTAGACAGCAGCCCCCGATTGCCACAACTAGAGAAAAGCCCACACAGCGACGAAAACCCAGTGCAGCCAAAAAATGAATGAACGAATAAATAAAAGAACTGGTTCAGGGAAAAACTGCCACGTCAGTCTCTGGTCCCCCTCCTCTTTTATAACTTCCTCCTCCACTCTCACCCTCAACATCCTGCTGCCTTCAGACTTCCCCAAGCCCCTGTGGTCTCCTTTGGGGCCGGAGCGTCCCCTCTCCCTCCCCTCCTGTTGCCTTCTTCTCTGGGTCCGTCAGATAGGGGATGTCTCCCACCTCAAGCCTACAATTCCCGAGGCTGGAGCAGGATCAAGCCCTCAGGGACATCTGGCAGGCAGACAGTCAGGCAGGCAGCCCTGGCCTCCCCGTCTCTCCTGGGATCTCTGCCCAGCTCTGCCGCGGATCCTCACACAGGGTGCGACCCACAACCCTCAGCTGACGGTGTGTCCTGTTCAGTGTTTCTTGTTTTATGGGCACAGGCGAGGATGTGAGTATCAACCAGCACACACAACCGCTCATACAAATATTCTATTCTCACAGGGCTGGCTGAACCAGCAGGGAGGTGAGCCCTGAACCAGCGTCTGCACCAACCTATGGTCACCTCCATGGAAAAGTCTTTAAACTGCCAAACTTTGGTGCCAGGAATCATGATATGTGTGTCAGCTGTCATCTTCCCTCAAGTGTTAAATAGAAAGAGTACCTCGATTTTTGGTGCACACACAGGTACACATGCTGATGAAATGGAAACGAGAGAAAAAGACGTAAGAGGGAGGGGAAGGGACATAATCTCTTCATCCACACTTACTTAATTTCAGTAGACACGTGTGCCTTCTGGTCACACAGCAGAGTTCTGAGATAAGAACTGACAGCCCTGCTTTCCCAGAAGGTGAACACAGAGGAGAAAGCATCAAATTAGAGCTAGGGTCTCATGTGCCAACCCTGTCCCAGAGTGACTGGTCTCAACTCGCTCCTTAGGAAGACGGGAAATACCTTCTCTGAACACCAGGTGGGACTACTGTGAGGGTCACGTGAAGAGAGTCTGCTTTTTGCTTCAGGCATTTGATATTCGATGCAGGTAGAACCAATGAGGCTGTAATTTAGTATTCCAAGGGGTTTCTGAAGTCAAACTAAGCTGGTAAATGGTAACCAGCTGCCCTGATAAGCAGGTCCAGGCTTTTTAGTATGACCCCTATTTACACATGTGTTAGTCTTATTCTAACAATGGCTCACTAGAACACCAAAGGTGTCCCTGACACAATATGACCAAGAACTCCTCTCCTAGAAGGTCACCACAGGACACATCCCTATGGTTACCTACAGCTTAGAGCTTGCCTGTTTGCAACAAGAATTCGGGGCCACTTAAAAGCACTATAGAGCAGGACATCGGAAGGATCAGAAAGCGTGTGTGGAAGGGGAGACAGGTGAAGATGGGGGGGGAGCTCATGGAGGGGGTGCGGTTCATTGGAGAAGACAGGATCTCAGTAAGAACTGGAGGTAGGTTTCATTTCCTGGCATTTAGTTCCCAGCCTCTTGACGATCAAGATACCAGTAACAACCAAAAGCAAAAATTTCAGACACCGAAGTTAGATTATATATTCCCATGGTATGACAAAGGAGGCATCGAACATCCCAGCACTGAACTCCAGAGACACAATCTGGACACGAAGACCATCTATGTCACTGTGACCCATCACCAGCCTGTCCTGGAGGTGGCGCTGTCAGCTGGGGCCGGCTAGGTAGGGCCATCCCTAAAGCCACAAGCTCAGTGGGAGGAGCCCTGGGGGCTGAGAAAGAGAGCTCTCCCTTCCCAGCACCACCTGCTCTACTGTCTCTCATTGTCCTGCCTTCACTTACATCCTTCTCTGAGGATCAGAATGGAACCACGTCCTTCCTGGGAACCCTGGAGCCCCTGAGCTGAGTGCAAACAGAAGTCAGCACAGGAGAGACCTCGCCAAGCCTTCTTAGCCCCCAACCCGGGCATGCTGACAGCCACAGCCAGGAAGACTCCCAAACAGGCCCCACACGTCCACAAGGATGCTTCAGAGGCTCTTACCTCCTCCTGAGTGTCCTCCACGCGGCTGTCCTCCTCTACTCCATGCCCCATCCCAGCCGGTCACAAAGGCCCGTAGAAGCTGAGCTTGCCAGGCTGCCCTTCTCGGAAGCAACAGGAGCCCCACATGACGAGGGCCCTCCAGAGAGGGAGGAGCTATTCAATTAAGAGATGTCATGTGAACAGAAAAAAAGGACCGTCTCTCCGCCCCTCTGGTCTCCCCATCTGTTTGCTGTTACCTGAAATTCATCCCACGAGTTTCACGATAATCACTGCCAGCTTTGAACCTAATTAAGCAAATTTTTAAAAAATGCCACCCTAGAAGAGGCAGCTGTTAGTTACTTTAATTTGACTAAGTACTAGTCAATCAAGTGGAATGAGAATCCCCAGTCCTCTTGAAAAGTGACAGCATAATTCCGATTTGGTAAAAATCATACATACACGGGAGAAAAGACTGAGATGTTGTCCACAAGAAAGACAAGAGTCGTTGCCTCTGTGTGCTGTGATTGTAAAAGATTTTTACTTTCCTTCTGATCTCTTTTTCATTTTTTCCATGTACTACTTTTGCAATTAGAAAACTTGTTAAAAATTAATAAAGTGCCATTTGGAAATCTGTATTAAGTCAACAAAGATTGATTACAAAGGTAAATAGCCACCCCCCACTCTTCCTTTCCAACAAACACGTTACTAATTACCTGCCCAAACAGAAAACAGTAAAGAATTTTCCAGAGACCACCAGGCATGTGCTCCTTGCAGGCGCTCCGGTGGCCACACAGCAGCAGGTCCTTTTGCATTAGGAGGCTCCCTCTCACCTGTGTGCTTCCACAGCCCAGCAACAATGGGCCCTCTGTTTGTGAGAGCTTTGTAGAGCAAAGGTCCAGAACATCCTCAGCTCCGGCTCCATTATCTGTGTTAACAGGAGGCGGTGAGGACCTGGCCAAATCACCAAAAGAAAGGGGATCACACACTGGGTCAGAATCTCAAGCCAGGTCTCTGAACAGCTGTCCCCAGAGCCTCCAGCAGGGGGCAGCAGGGCACCGTGAGCAACAGCCATCTGGTGTCACCGAGGAAATAGCCCGAAATTCCACATCAGGTGGAAGCCTGGAGCAATGCATCCTTTCTGTCCATGGCGCAAGAATGCTGTGCCCTTACAGAACTGCCTGGTAGAAAATCAGACTTTGAACAAGTCAACTGTGTCTTCAGGAAACCCACAATCAAAAGAGAAATCCAATGTTTCTTCTGAAATCATATTTTTCTCGGTTTGGAAAAGTCACAAAACCACCCTGTGTCTATTTTGTATATTTACCTATATTTGGCTTTATTTCAAAAAGGATTTAAGGCAGCTTCACCAAGTCGCAAGGTCTCTGTTTCATCCTAATTACACAGGACAAAGGAAACACAGGATCTGTTCCTATCTGCCCCAGGTAATAAATACGGCTGTTTACTAACAGACATTTGTCTTAGCATTTGCCAAAATGAAGTAAAGGGAATTTGGTCCAAGACTGAGAACAGATGAATCTGGAATGAAAGCCCAAAAGCCTTGAAGTGATGCCAGCGGCAGCTAAGTGATTAGTGAGTGAGGTTGCAAAAAGGAGCAGGTACCTTTGCTTGTGAGGCCTGCTCTTTCTACCAGTTTGTCATTAGTTACACTTAATGACACCTGGGAAAGCCCAGGTTTCCTCATCTATAAACAGGGGATAGGGTCAGATAATTTGACTCAGATATGGAAAGAGAGCGGCCTTAAAGGGCCCTGCAGGAAGGACAGCTGATAGGAAACTTGTTATAATATGCAAGTCATTTTGTTTGGAAGCCACATCTTGACCCTTCTTCATCTGCACAATCTATTTGCAGCCTTAGCACCTGGGAAATGGGAAAGAAGCCAAAGGGGTGATCTTCACAGTTTCGAACCTAAGTAAAAGTTGGGAGTGTCCAAAGACATCTGCTCAGCCCTCCCTCGAGTGCCACCACCTCCGAATGCCCCGAGTATTGCATGGAGCTCTGTAATGACAAGCCCTGGTCTGGAGTATTGGACTGGCTTGTGTGGTGTCCCTGCTGGGGCACCATTCATGGCCACTTCAGAAAGGTAAGTGCATGTCATGAAGAGTGTCAAACACAAAATCTGGTTTTAATCTTTACTTTCAATCCCAATCAATCTCTTTCCTTTTCGTTACAAAAGTACTAGATGAACATGGACAGGAGAAAGCTGACATCTGCAAACTACATGCCTTCAACAGGCATCTCGATCCCACCACCAACACCCATGTGCGAGGCAGAGACACCAGGCAGGTAATTCTCGGTAATCAGAACTATACATAAATGCACGATCATTTTATTTCATATAAACATGATCAACATGAGCGAAGCCAGACTGTGGATTTTACACACTCTTGACACTCCCAAAGAGCCTTCTCGTGGGGCCAGAGCTGAGGCCCAGCCCTCCCGGAAGGAGGACGCGGCTGGTGTCTCAGTAGTTCATTGAGACGACAAGCTGGACGTGCTGGGGAGAGCCAAGAGTACCGTGGCCAGGCTTGGACGGGTGGCCAGCCGGCACAGCCGGGCGCCTTCCTGCATGGGCTCCTTGCCCGGGCTTGCCGGAAGGTCTCTGCACTCGGTGGAGCAGGGAGCAGTGATCAAGCCGAGCAGCTGTCCAGAGCGTGTCAGTCTCTGGCTTGACCGCTCACCTCCTCCAGCCCTCTGAGCAGAAGGAGCTGTCAGTCCACCGTGCCATTGTAGGATTTGTTGAACTTGTTAAAGGTGAAATCCACGGTGTGTGTGGAGATGGGCTTTCTGTACAGAGGGTTTGAAGCCTAGATAACATGGAGGGTAAGAGGACATGTGTTAGCTCACTCACTCATTCGAACACACACAGGTTTGGAGGCCCTTCCAGGGTCAGTCACCAGGAAGGCAGCGAGCAGGCTGTGTGTGTGGGTAGAGGCACCTGCCTTGTGCTTCAAGACTTTCTCCTCCAACCCACTGGCCTGGGATGGCCCCGCCCTTCCCTGAACTTTCTCCATCTCTGAAATGAGGGACCTTGTCCATCAGATGGTCTCTAAAGTCCCTTCCAGTTTTAACAGAAACGAACTAGGACTTTAGGGGGCACTCACTGTGTTCTGTCCTTGGATGACGTGCAGTCTGCTTGGGGAAGCAAGGCACACACAGACATTGCGACAGACTGTGGGAATGTGGTGTCCCCTTCTGGGCTGTGTCCAGACTCCCCCTGCTCAGGCTGTGCCCAGCACCTCTGCTTGTGAGCCTCCTGACCTGGGTGTGGTGTGGGGCTCTGTGCAAGGCATTCAGAACTGGGTACACACTACCCCTCAGGCTTCGCTTCTTTGTTCTGAATGCTAAAGGTACTAGGGGGCCTCTGCCTGAACTCAGCTGGACCCCTAAGCTTGACATGCTTCCCACTTTCCGCTTCCCACTGGCGTACCATTTCGTAGCGGGCCCTGGATCGCTCACTCTGGAACTTGGCGAACTCTCTCCGGTCATGGATGGTGACGAGCAGCTTCCAGATGACCAGAAGCGCAAACCCAGTCAGGAGGATGCTGCCAACCACGGCCAGGAGGATGATCATGGCACTGGGGGCGGTCCCACACTCTGGAGGAGCAGGGCACAGTGAGCAAGCCACCGGCACCACCATGCCCCCACTCTAACCTCAGGCCCACCAGCTTTCCCCAGAAGGCCTTCCTGTGCGTCATAAGACCCTCACATGGCTTCTGGAGGTGTGGCTGGCAGGCAGGTTTCTCCAATGCACATAAAGTAAAAGATTAAAAGAAGGCTGGTGACTGACCCAAGGCCACACAGCAAATCGAGGGCAAAGTCCAGGAGAATTTAGAGGCTGCTCCACCTTTTCCCCCACACACCCTGTGCACGGCTGCATCCCCCCAACTCGAACCACCCACACCCCAGCCCGGCCCCACCTCCCGTGCAGGATGCTGGACCACGTCTCGACTTTCATGTAAATGGTTTCGGGAGTAGACCAGGCGGCAGGAGGTTTCACGAAGCTGTTCCGCAAGGGCTGGGCTGGGGGCCAGCCGACATTTGTAAGCCCTTAGTGTGGAGCCTTTGGAGCAAATGTGCTTATTTTCAAAGAACCACAAAGACAGCGCTTGGAAACAAAGCCTCCTTCTTCAGGCGTGCATCCTGGGCTGAGACCACAACCCTTCCCTCTGCCTCTGCCTCGGGAAGGCACATTATGTGGTCTGGCCTCATGTGGAAGCAGTTTGCAGTGCTGTGAACTCAAGAGAGCAGATCTTTTTCTGCACCCCCACCCCCGCTCCAACCTCCTCCAGAGAAGAATAAAAGGGGTCATACCAGAAACCCTAGTTATTCCAAGGAAAAGGGCTATTGAGTCCCTGGGCCCAGAGCATGAGGCAGAATTGTCCATGTGGGTCAGAGCATGCCGTCCTCAACGGCTGGGCACAGCACTTGTGGGAATGTTCACCCAGCGCTCTGCCCTTCCTGGGCACCACTCCAGGAAGTGGCAGCCCAGCCAGGGCCATGCACGTACCCAGACTCCCTGATGCCCAGCGCTGATGGTCCGGACCTGCCGTGCACACTCACACTGCCGTTAGCCACGTAGGTTAAGCGTGTTCTATGCTCACTGCCACCCCCAGACCCCTTCCTTTGAGATGAGACACTCCCCCAGGGCAGGGCCGTATCCTCCTATAACTCCCATTCCCTCCAGTCACAGCCCCAAGCTCCGCCCCAGTGATGGTCCCCAGATGAACAATCATCTTTCTTCTCAACTACAGCAGTCAGGTAGAGAAGGCCCACAGCTCCTGATCTTCACAGGGAACTGTGTCCCTCCCCTCTCTGGAGTTTGGAAAGGATGGTGAAAAGAGGATGGGTCAGAAACCAAGCACCCTGGGGGAGCAGACAGGGCCAGCCCTCACCCACCTGGCTCCCTGAGGACCGTGAGGTTGGACTTCCCACTGGGGAGCTCTGAGTAGGTGAACATCATCACACAATCCTTGGCGGTCTTGTAGAAACACAGCACAGCCTCCTGGTCATCTTTCACTGGAAGAAAACCAAGCAGAAATGTCCTGAGTTTCTCTCTGAGTAACTCAGAGCCACCGAGGGATGGGGTGAGGAGCCAAATCCTGCCCCAGAAGAAAAGGGGTGCAGAGAGGCTGACTGGGACTTAACAGTGAGTTCAAGTCTCTCACATCAAGAATGCAGGCCCAGCACTGAGTTAGACTGCCCCAGGGATGCAAACTCCCTTCCACGCGAGGGAACCTCTGCAGCGCTCACTGTGGGGATGTGGAAGGAAAGGACGCACTATGGCCAGGCGGGACAGGACAATGGAACTGGATAAAGAAGGGGCTGTCCTGCTGCCCGCGGAGGCCTGAGTGAGAGCTCACACTCGAGTCCCCCTGGTGAGAGCCAGATGCAGAGGCCGAGAGCTGGCAGTGCTGTCCTGAGATGTGAAACGAGAGAGCCCCATGAGGGGATGAGACGAGTGAGAGACTGCATGTCCCCAGACCCCAGGATGGTGCACACTGCTTGCCTCGCTCCCCGTGGGAAGAAGCTCCCTTCCTCACACTGCCTCACACCTGCTGTCCCCACACGGCTGTCACCTGAGGTGAAGGCATCACCCTCCTCACCCCCAAGGCATTATCCACAGTCTAAGGCTTCCCTGGGTCAGGGTTAGACTGATTTCTAGGGGGGAAGGAAGCCGGGAAGTGTGAAGTAAGAGGAAGGCGGGTGATAAGGGAATGACCCATGGGTCCTGAATAATAACTGCAGGTTATGTTGTGACATGGGACGCCTTCCAGCTCCACCCTCTGTAAGCCTGTGGCTCAAAGGAGGCTCTACCTGGGACCAGACAGTTTTGAGTGGTTATCAGACGCAGAGGCCTGGGCTTTTTTTCCTCTCAAACCCCAACAGTAAGCCCCGTCTGGCTGAGTGTGAGTGAGTGTGTGAGTGAGTGTGTGTGTGTGTCTGTGTGTGTGTGTGTGTGTGAAAAAGCCTGGGGGGAAAGAAGGAAAACTGCTGAATTCAAACGAACTTTCTCTGTGAAGCAGCTGATTCAGGTCACAGCTGTGCATGAACAGCAGCATTTGCTCCAGAGCGACGGACTAGTTAGTGAGTCAGGATAGGCATCACCCTGTCTTTCTGTGGGTGTCCAGTCACGGGGCAACGGCCCAGGTCTGCAGGCAAACTGGCATGAGAGGCCAGACTGGGTGGGTGGGGGGCTCCACATTGGCTCCCAGGTGCAATACAAGCCCTGGCACACAGTAGGTGCTCAGTGAGTATGAGCTGATGGCATTCACAACTCGGTTGCCATGATTTGGCCAGAGCATCAGTCAGGACCAGGGGGGCAGGAACAAGGAGCAGTGAGACCGGCAGGAATTCTATCCCGGGTTCCTCTGGACAGAATGCAAGCTCTGCCTTGTCTGATGCCAGAAGCATCAAGAGAGCTGTGCTGGGCTGAGGCCAAATGGGGCACAGACTGGCTAGCTGGTCACCAAACATGGTTTTCCAGCTTCCTGGGCACACCTGGATGGTATTTCCCACCACTCCTGCAGTAAATGTGGCCAGGTGACTGAATTCTGAGGGAAGTTACATGTACCCTTCTAGGTCCAGCCCATGTAAAACTCCCATCCGATCCTTCCCTCTGTCCTCCCCACTTGTAGACTCAATGGAGAGGATTCTGAGGACATGGGGGAGGGTGGAACCAAAATTGAGAGGGTATCTGGGCTCCTGAAGGACCAATGGAGGGCTTATCAACTAGGAACATCTTCGCTTTCAATGAGTGACAAACCAACGTCTATTTTGTTAAGTCACTGAGGTTTGGGGTGTGTTTGTTGTGGCAGCTAACAATACTTATTCTAACTAATACACCAACTTCTCAGGAAGCCTGGGAGATGTGGCTCAGAAAGGACTGGGCCCAGGGACAGGACAGACACTGATGAACAGGGAGGTCTTATACCTGGAGAGCCTGGAACCTGTGCCCTAGCCCAGGTACCCCAAGTCCTCTTGGGGAGCCAGCAAGGACTCGCCAAGAACCTGAGGCTACTTCCTAACTCAAGGTTAAAACTACCATCCTGTCTGCCAGGCAGCCCTGAAGATCATCCCCACAGGACAGTCTCTACATGTCTGCCAGGATCCAAAAGGGGCCGGCTACCCAGGCTACTCCGCACTCACCAATGGTGTCCACCCGTGTGATCACCTCATCCTTGCACAGGTTTTGGCAGGTCTGGTTGTCAGCTGAGCTCCCCGAGTGAAGCAGCAAGCACTCAACACAGTCTCTTTGGAAGAGAGGCAATAAAATGTGGGTGTTAAATGCTATGGATCAGCTCCACACATGTAACTGTGTACATGCCCCAAGAGTGCAGATCCCAGCCCTCTTTCAGGACCCTGAAGCTTTAACTTCTCCCATCTTCAGTTGTTTAGCCTTACTGTCCTCTCTGTCGCCCTCATGCAGGGAAGCCTGAAGGTCCTTGGAGGAGCCTAGGTGAATTTAGAGACGTGTCCGGTCCCCATGTCAAGTTGCAGGCTGGAGGCCTTTCAAGTTCTGACACCAGGAGCCACATCCACCTGCACTCTGGTGCATCAAATGCCTCCCTGAGGAGTCTGCCCAAAACAAGGAGCTTCTGATGATAAAAAAGTGTTCCTGGCCTTGAGGAGCGGTCCTCACACCCCTATGGCCCCAACTCCCAAGATCCCCACCAGGAGACCATCACATAGGCAGGGCTCTCAGCCCTCCTGCACATTAACCCCTCTGGGTGGGATTTCAGGACATCACTGCCAGGGGCCTCAACCACACCTATGGAATCTGCCTCTCTAGGGCTAGAGCCTGGTCTCCCAGGGACTGAGTAAAGATGAGGGCTGAGGACCACTGTCCTGGAGACTCTCGGCCCTTCCCCCTTCCAGACAGACCCCATGTGGTATGGGAGCCAAGCTCTAAAGGTTCACTGAGATTGTTGTGGAGGGGAGAGAGGGTCCCTAACCCCTCTGGGCGGGGCATAAATGGAGTGGCAAGAACTCAACTCCAGGGAGAAGTGGGTTGGAACAAAACTGCCAGTTGATGGTGAAGTTGCAGGGCCTTTCTGAGGTGATGGTGCTCAGTGACCTGCAAGGGGGTAAGAGACCCTCAAAACAGGGGCTCCTCCAGGAAATGGGGTGAGGACTTCAGAGTTAAGCATGTTGGGCAGGCCACTGCCTCCTTGCAGCTGTGTCCTGGCACCAGAGTGTGGCGGGGGTGAGGGGGAAGCTTACAGAGCCTCAGCGACACAGAGGACAGCAGCCCATACCCCACAGGCCTATGGGGACCAACAGGGCTGTGTCCCCGGAAGGCTCTCTGGCAAAAATATGGCAGGAAATAGAACTACCATGCATCACATTTATCATTTTCATTTTATTTTTTATTTTTTTTTAAATTTTAAATATTTACTTTTTTTTTTCCATTTATTTTTATTAGTTGGAGGCTAATTACTTTACATCATTGCAGTGATTTTTGTCATACATTATCATTTTCATTTTAAAATTCCTTGGGGTGGAGGAACCAGTTACTACATTTCCAGGGCAAAAACTGTGCAGTGGATGCCAGGCCTGAAGGGAGCTGGGAGCGTTTCATTAAGTTGCTCTATTTCACAGGCAAGGGAAATGAGGAATCAAAGGCAGCAGGGTGCAGCACCCAGGAGCCCTGCCTCTTCGTCAAGTCCCTCCCGAAGTCCTTCCTCTACTTTCTGAACGTTGAGGAGATCGTGGAGAGAAAGCAGATAAGACTTTCTTACCAGGGTTCTAATAGGTTGAAGAATTCAACCATCCCAGGATGAGCCACAAAATTCCTCTCTTCTGGGAATGACTTCATGGAAACATTCTGGAGTTAAACAAGTCAGAATTGCTGCATTTCCCCTGAGGCCATAGCCTAGTGGGCGGGTACTGAGACTTGGCTGGGCACCAAGAAGGGCTGGCTCCAGCTCTGGTCCTTCACACTAATGCCGCTGCCCTCCCCACCCCACAATGAACACACTGCAAAGAAAGGTGTTTGCTTCCCATCTCCACTAGGACTCACCACAGAAGCCTCCACCTGCACGTCCTGTAGTCAGGAAACGACAGGGCTGCTTCCAGGGAACATTCCCTCACCATCCACACCGGAAAATCAGTTTAACCCGTGTGCTCCTCGCACTGGGTTGAAACTTGTGATTTACTGTAGTCATGTATTAAAATAAGTCTGGCCTTTAAACAAGCAAGCTGCTGAGACAGACTCTGCTCAGGGAGTCTGTTAATTGAAATCAGCTGAGGCTGAATATGAACTCACCCAAGGTGAAGGGTGTGTTTGGTTAGTTCTAGAAAGTAGATATTGCCTGCTCTGAAGAACCAGAGGCGGGGGTGGGGGGAAGGACATAAGGCATTGAAAACCTGGTGGTTCTCAACAAAGCGGTGAGAAGAACAGCCTGAAATAAGGCACTATCAAAGGGACTTCTTTTTTTTTTTTTAAGTTACAAGTAGGCTGTGAAAGAGGAAGTGTCAGGGTGGCCCGGAGACACCTAAGAAGGAATAGCGAGGTTCCTTGATGGCATCTCTTTGCTCTCCTTGTTCCTTAGGTGTTGCTTAATAGAAAACAAACCAAGGCCATGTCTTCTTGGAAATGAACGCTTTAAACATTTAAAGCTAAGGCTGTCTTCCCAAGCAGGCTTTTAACTGACCTAAGCCAATCCTTTATTGCCTTGCTGCTCCAGAGGAAGGGGAAGAAACAGGTTTTATTGGTTCCACGCGTATTGTCCTAGCTTCATCCCCACCTCCCAACAGCCTCACATGCCCCAAGGTCTGAGAGCACACACTCAAAAGGGTTCTGCTGGTGGGAGCTGGGGGAAGGGCGCCTCCCGCAGGCATTCCATGTTGATAATGGCCGAAAGTCCAGGCTCAGATGGCCATAGCTATTTGGGCTCCAGATCCAGGAGCCTAACCTCCTCCCCTGGCATGTTTCCATTTGATTTCTGCTGTTTCTCCATTTTTAGCAGGTCAACAGTGGATCTGTGTTTCTTTTCCCTTACTCTGCCTGGCTTCACTCTAATTACACAAAATAAAATCTGGCCCTGTCTATCTTGTCTCTCCATCTGCGGCCAGCTTTCAATTACCCACGCCTGGATTATTTGTGGCAAACGTCCAGACAGGGGCTCTGCCACCCAGAACATTTCTGAGTTCAGACTGACCGGCAGCCCCAGCCACTCGGGGAGCATGACCTCCTCTCATTAGGAGCCTGGGCCAGGCATTTGGAAGGGATATCTGCCAAAAAAAATTGCACAGTTGCATTTCCCAGCCAAAAGGAAACAACGTCTGTATTATTACTTGTTTCTGATTATCTGTGTTCCTCCCTCCTGGCCCCTCAGCACAAGGATGACGATGGCACAGCTGTTTCTCTAGCAAAATCAAGGCAAGCTGTCACTCTTGCTTTCCTGATGCCATAACTCCCTGCTCTCTTTCATTCCCTCTCATTTTTTTCTCTGGCAGAATGTGGAGGGCAGAGCTGCGAGGAGGTCAACTGGGGAACGTGACCCTGTGGCTGGGTCAGTGGAGGCCTGGAGCCTGTATCTGGACAATCTCTGCATTCAGCAGCAGCACGGAGACCCGCTCCATTATCTGTACAAATGGAGCAGAAAATTCAAAAGCCACTACAGTTTGTTCCTGGCATGCCTTATCTAGGTCGGGTGCCCTCCTGTCCAATTTACCTTCTGATGATGTTTTGTTTAAAGCAGTACTTTCTATACAGGAAAGGTGGCCTGTGAAACAGTTTCGGTTGATGTTAATGGGGAGGGTCAAATTCATTTGGAAGAAAGATGCATGCTGAATGTCCTTTTGAAATATTCAGTGACGCACTAAAGGCTAAGAAGATGCTATTTTGGTACCAAAACAATTCAATTTCATTTAACCTAGTAATCCGGTAATTTCTAAACTTGAATAACAGTCTTGCTTTTTGTTGTTCTGTTTTGCTTTTGTTTTGTTTTTACAAAACCTCCATGGAACCAGAGCTTCAAAGGCCGCATTCGAGTTCATGTGAGTAAGAGTTTCACTCCCCTGCAAGTCTGCATGGGCAAGGTGTGGGAGATGGGGAGTGAGAGGCTGGTGGCCCTGGAGGCTGACTGGCCAGATGGCAGGATGGTCTGGGGGAGACGCTGGGGTGGGGGCTTTACCTCTTGGTGCTGCAGGCATCAGGGCAGGTTGGGCACTTCTCACATGTCTCCCCAAAGGCCCCTGGCTCTGTGCACTGGCACTGTCCGCAGACGCAGTGCCCACGGTCGCTGCAGATGTGGCCATCCCTGGCCTGGCACGTGCTGATGTCCGTCGAGCAGTTACAGTTGTCCCCGATATAACCTGCGTGGCACTTGCATTCTCCGCAGTGACACTCACCATGGCCTAAAAGGACACACACCGCACATCAGTGCCCGCCTGCCTGCACACACACACAACCAAGCTGGCGCCTGCCACATGCTGGACCCTGGGGATGTAACAGAATGAGACATGGACTGTGCCCTCAGACTCTGACCGGGCAGACCAAGAGGGCCTGGTGCCACCACGTGGTGACAGCAGGGTGCCCAGGCGGTGCATGCAGTCCGCCTGGGCTGGACACTGCCCCAAGTCAGTAAAGAACTTGGCCAAGTCGTGCCACGGGCCCAGGACCCCAGAGAACTTCTTCCTATCTCCCAGTTATGTGAATTACATCCCCAGGGCCTGTGGATGTGACCCCGTATGGCAAAGGAGACTTTGCCATGTGATAAAGTGAAGGATTTTGAGACAGGGGAGATTCTCCCAGATTATCCTGGGGCCCTAAGTGCCATCACAAGGGTTCTGTATAGGAGTAAGGCAAAGGGGGATCTGACCGCGGAAGGTGGTGGCCACGGCCAGGAGAAGCAAGACGCTGTGCTGCCAGCTCTGAAGACAGAGGCAGCGGCCTCAAGGAGCCAGGAATGCAAGGAGCGCAGCTCTGTAAGATGGGAAAGGTGAGGGTAGGACCCTCCCTGGAGCCTTGGCAGGAAGTGTGGCCCTCCTGGTTCCAACACTGTAGCAAGGGAGAACCATGTCAGACTCTGACCTCCAGAGCTGTAAGAGAACACACTGGAGTTGTCTGAATTCAGTCACTGATTTGTGGTAACCTGTCACACCACAACGGAAATGCACACAGTCACTGTCCCTGAGTCTCAGTGAGGTGCTGGCTCCGGAGCTGTGGCCCAGAGCGGGACGATTCAGGACGATTCAGGAGCAGGTGCCAAGGGCGCCAGCAGCTAACACTGAACTCACTACGTACGTGTCAGGCTTTATAGCATGAACTTGAGGAATTCTTACAACCATCCCCTGCTCACAAGTGATGAAAATGACACATGGAAGGACAAAGCAGCGTGGGGGTGGCCACAGAGCCAGGACCCAGACCAGGAGTATGGCTGAACTTGAGGATCTGCAGCCTCAGGAGACAGAATAGGCCCTAATCACGAGGAGAACCAGCTCCCCTGTGCAGGAGGGACCCGATCGTTCCACAGCCTCCAAGGGAGGAGGGGCCGGGCATCCCCTCCATGCTCTGCAGGCATCAAGAGCAGGGGGTTGCTGGGCTCAGAGGACTGTGTGTGCACCAGGCACATGCGTGCACCTGCTGGGCAGTGAGGAGTATGGGGAGTGCCAGCCTCCAGGGGGGCCTGACAGTTCATGGATCCTCTGTTCTCTGCGCTAACACAGCAGAAAGCAATGCTATAAATGGCAGTTAGTTTTTTTAAAAAGTCTTCTTTATACTACTACTGTAGCATACTTTCCTTTCTCATGCCATTCTGCTAAGACTGATATCAAAAGGACCAAGAATTTGTATTTACTGAGAATCCACAGATACACCAGCAGACCACCAGACAGCTAGGGGATGGCGTCAGATGTGGGGGGAGGGCTTGCATTCTACTCCCACTCCTGAGTCAGTTGTCCTGGTAACTGGATTTCAGCACGTTCTGTGAGACCCCCAGCGAGTGTGATCCACAGTTCAGGTCAGGACCTAACTTCAGAGTGCCACTTCACCCCTACTTCCTTCTTGTCCCCCTCTCTGCCCAGTCCTCACTGTAGTGCCTGGGACCTGCGGGAGACAAGGGTGGCCATCTGGAGCCAACAAGCCTCCCCCCTCCACCCCCAAACCCATGCGGGACCGGGACCACAGCCCAGGGATGCAGAGGCCCTGCAGAAACTGCACTGGGAACAGCACTCCCACCCCCCACTTCACAGGCAGTGTCGAGGCATATGGCAGCCCTCTGGGAGAGCTGAGGAAAGCCAGGCCCAGCCAGGAGGAGGCTGCGGAGTGCAGTTTAACTGCCTGGAAGCCCGCGTGCGGTGTGTGGGCCACAGGAGAGAGCAGCACCCCCGGCTCAAGGGTTACAGGGTGGTGGCGGGGGTGGGGAGCCGAGCACACAGCTCACTCCAGGGAGGGAGGCCCGCACACCCCTCCTCTCCACCAATCCTCGAACAGCCATGGCAGGCAGGAAACCACCCTCCACAGGGAAGTCTTCCCAAACGAAATGGATCCAATCCACACAGCTAGCTCCCTCACTCTCGGCCTCGGGACCACACTGGTCAGGAGCCTGTTTTAAATTAAACTGGTTCACTGTCAGGGTAATTTTCCCCCCAATACTTTATTATGAAAATTCCAAACCTGCAGCCAAGATGAAAAGACTGTAGTGTGAACATCCACCTATTTACCAGCTCTTCCACCGTCAGCATGTTAGCTGCTGCTCCATCACACATCCCTCCCTCCTTCCAGCCATCCATATATTTTTAAATGCATCTCAAAGTGAGCTGCAGGTATCAGTGCACTTCAGGGTAGGTTTTTCATTAGGTCTGGCCTCTCCAATGGCCTGTACATCACAGCATCCCATAAAGCAAAAATATCAGAAGAGGTATGGCTGGTGCCATATTTACAAGCAGCAAAGACACTACTCAGGCCAGAGGGACTGCTTGCTTTGTTTGACCTGGTAAGTGTTGTTTTCCCTCTTACTCTGTATTTGGCAGCAATGTAACATAAACCAGATGTAACCTAACACACTGTTTTAAATTGTCAATGGTTTGGAGAAGAGGTAGTATATTATTTTTTTGTGGTGAAGTGTGGGTATGTGTGTGTTGAAAGAAGAACTTGCTCCCTGTTGTGACTGAGCATCTCATGTGAAAAGATCTGCTCAATGAGAAGATAGCAAATTTGCCAAGTGCTCTGTGCTTTCCCTCATGACTGCTGATTGGCAAGTAAACCCAGCTGCCTCGGGCACATCTGACACCATGAGAACCCGAGAGCTCCAAAACCCAGCCCAAGGTCAAAACAGTTGAGTGTGTCCTGGATCTGGGGTGTGAGTAGTCAGGAGTCACGGGCAGCAGAGACTAGGAGTTGGTGGTCACCGTGGCTCTGTGGTGAGGGGCAGGACTCACGGCCAGAGACGTAAGCCATCCTCGGAAGCCGCCCCCCAGCACCTGAGCAGCAAGGACATGGAGAGGAGGAGACGCTGTGCAGACAGCCTGTGAATGAGGACACAAAGAGCTGTGCCATTAGTCGGGGGCCAGCAGGTGGGGGCTACGGAGGGCCACAGGACTCTGGAAAGTCCTCATCCATGGGGCTCTTTGGCTTCAAACATTTGCCAGTTCCAATGCGAAGTCCCAGCAAGTCAAACTAGGAGAGAAGCCACACTTGGTGAAATGGCTGAATCCGCCTAAGTACTGTCCTCAGGGACTCCGTACATGGCCCCAGTTTGTCCATCAGGTGGTCCATTGCCTCCCAAGACAGTGTAAAGCAGCTACAGCAGAGAGGCGTGCATGCACTTTGCCCTCCTTCACTCCCATGGCAGATCCTACCATCTAATCAGGGGAGTCTCTGCCAGGGAGCCCAGAATTAGCCTCAGAATCATCCTCGACACCGTCCTCCAAGGACAGTCTCCCAACTAGAGGAGCGGGCACACAAGATACAGCCACTTGCCATCTCAGCTTAAGCTTCCATGTCTCCTTCAGAAAGCGTGACCCATGCAAAGTGTTACAAACCACGCAAATCTGGTCACAATGTATCCTAACCCAACATCTCAAATCCTGCAGTCAGGCCTCAACCTGCCTTTCCCTTGGCCCACACCTGCAGATTCCCACATCCTCTGGTCAACCCTTGGCCTCTCCTAACACCCTAGGAGGAACACGTGTTATTAAAATGACAAGGGCCACTGAGTCCCATCCCCAGGAACAATAACCCATCTATCACCAGGAGAGTTGCACGGGGAACGGGAACACGATGCTGGCTAACAGCACCAGAGGGCCGAAGGAAGGACTCCTCCCCATAACAGAGCTCATTTGTAACACTTCCCCAGCACCTTGGCAGAGCGTGCTGAATTTCATGATGCCTGTTTTATACTCTGCAGACGTAAAAAATATTTTCATTACATACAGATAGGGATACTGAAGGGCATGTGAAAGCACTTTGTAAGCTGTGAATTGCTACATGTGCAAGTTATTATTAGTACCTTTGTTGGAATGATTGATAGCTAAATGGACAGGAAGTTGTAAATGTGTCTATTTATACAGAATTTCAGCTCTACAGAATTCAACAACTTTCCATCAGCAAAAGGTTGCTTGTGTGGGCCACGGGCCAAGACGCAGCCCCCTGCCTCCCTTGATAAAGTAGAATACGGCTATTCAGAGGCAGGGGTGCCATGAAAGAGGGCAGGAAGGAGCTGCTGGAGAGGAGGGAGGGGGGCCTGTGAGGAAGCCCCAGCCAGAGCTAGTGCTCTGTAGAGGCCAACAAGGGCAAATTCGACAGTGCAGTGGGATGTGAGGGTCAAATCCAGTGACAAAGTGGTGAGGCAGGAGCCAGAGAGCATGGCAGCTCCCACAAGGAATCTAGCTGTTCAGGGAAAGGAAGAGATGAGGAGGAAGGAGGTTGGGGATTTTAAAGAGGGGATATTTGAGCATCCTTCTGATTAAAGAGAAAGATACAGAAAAGAGAAAATCTGGTAGCAAGTGGAGGAATCAAGGGAAGAACAAACTCCAAAGAGATCACAGCTGAAAGAGACTGAGAGGGTGAAGTGGGGTAGGGGGCGGTATTGAAGGGAGACTGAACAGCTTGGGGTGAGGGCCGTGGCCAGAGGAGCTCAGGATAACCCTGATCAGTTGCATGAAGGGCTGGGGGCTGTGCATACTTGTTCAAGTGTGTGAACCATGGTCAAGTGTATCCTGCACCACTGGCTATGTCACCTTGGGCAAATCCCTAAACCTGACTGATGATCACATCCTTATCTGTCAGTGTGGACAATGGGATCGTCTGTCAGAAATACTGATGCTACTGCAAATCAAGCCCCTACTGCAGCAGCTGACACAGGACTGCCCCTGGAGCGGAGCAAGCAAGGATCAGTGCTCTGGACAGTGGTCAC